TAACATCTTTGATTATTATGAGTAAAGATTTAGGCACTTTGCAGTCATGTGCTGGTCTCTTAATCCAAAAGGTTCGCATATGTATAATTAATATCGTAAACTTTGTCTAATCGGGCAATTGATTGGCTGATAGCACCGCGCATCGGCTCATGTCGGCCAATAATTTGATCGATTGGACGAATTTTGTGATATTTATCAACATATGAATCAATATACGTGTTATCCGGCAAATCATAATCATGATTCTCAAGTCGTCATTGATTTTGAGATTTAATTCGAATAATGATTACGACATTACACAAAAAATAACAATCTATATATGATCATGAGAATTTGCCGGATAACTAAACGCTATTGTTAATTTATAAATACCCTATATGTAAAATTACACGCGCTATTTTCACATGCATGAACGCTATAGGTGTATCCGGAAACAGGCCATCATTATCGTTATACAGATTTTTTAATAAAGAACTGTATAACTATAATGGCTTCAAAATTTTTGCTACGTATCCGTAAACCATATGGCCACTCTGGTGGTGGCAGTGTTAGCCATTTTAGGTCAACTTTATATGAATAATGATAACGATAATGAAATTTGTATGGTCATATGCTAACACCGAGCGGAGTTGTGGTGCATATTCTCCGATTGATTACTATGCGGATTAACACGTGACTTCAATGTGTGACTTCAAAGTATGACTTCAAAGTGTGACTTCAAAGTATGACTTCAAAGTATGACTTCAAAGTGTGACTTCAAAGTGTCACTTCAAAGAGTTGTATCGGTGTCATTTCACCGATAATCATTTCATTTGAATCAATTCATTACCAAAAAAAAAAATTCATATTCTGATGAAATTTATGGTTTCATTTGGCATTATTTACAGTATATTGAATATTGTCGTGCCTGAAATTGGCATCTGCTTAAAGTCACTATTTCAAACGTCTGAAGTAGTATCCTTCTGGAATTACTGCTTAATATACGCTAGATTCAATTTCAATGGCTTAATTTGGTCAGGTGCAACTTTAGTAGCAACTTCAAGCGCGATCAATATCGCAAAGTTCAATTCATGCATACTTATTTATTTATTAAATTTTAGCATCCAGAAAATATTTTAATACATAAAGGTATTCCCAAATTAACCAACATTTGGTTGTCAAAATCTAGAGCATCCAGCAAATTCTCATTCGTCCGTTATTGTCCTCCTGAGATTTTGTCATCACGAAATATTACCCCTAATAAAATGAAATTAGACATTTATAGATTAGGTGTACTTTTGTGGGAAATTTCAAGTAATGTTGAACCTTTTAGTAAAGGTTATAATCGTTCTTCAACCCTTGCAATTGATATTCAAAAAGGTGTTCGGGAGTTACCCATAAGTGGAACACCACCTAAATATATTGAACTCTATAAAAAATGTTGGGACAATAATCCTGGTATAAATCATTTTATATTATATTTCTTTATTTATAACGTTTTTATCTGACATATAAGACATAATTTTTTTATTAGATCGGCGACCTAATTATGCATATATTCTTGATGAATTAAATGCACAAAAGACAGCTATCAAATCTCATAGACTTAGTGATCCTAATTCGAAATATGGGAAATTACAACAATTAAGGATAGAGTTTATTAATCTTTTCAGTTTAAATAAAGGTAAAAATTGCAGAGAATACAATTTTGTTCACGGAGAAGGGATTATTTTACGTGATGATGGAGAACTAAAAATACAAAAAACCATCCAGTCAACTCCAATTATTTATTTTTCGAAAAAAGGTTCTGTGTTTTCTGATATTACTATGGATGTAGAACCAGAAAATGATTATATAAGGATCCATTTTCCAATTTGTACAGTTCAGTACCAAAGTGAGGCAACGGATGAATTTATTATTGACATCAAAAATACAATGAGCATTCCAGATATAAATAAGAAACTAGAGATGTTAAAAAAGAAATTAAATAACTATGGTGATTATATAGTTACTGAAGCCATTCTTGGTGGCGCTATTACAATTAAAAATTGGTCCAAGATTGATGATGCATATAAATCTCGTTTAAAGTCCTACATTCAATGGGGAATTGACTATGCAAAGGGCAAAAAATTAAATGTTTTTGAAAATGTATCACTTGATGGCTTGCCTCCATTACCTTCGTTTGATGCCTCAGAACCTATGAAATGTGTTGGAGATTTATACAATTGGCTTAAAGACTTATATCGTAATAAAAATCTGGAGATAATATCATATGAAAAGATTAAACCATCCTATCAGTCATTGCCAAATGATTTAATTCAGCAAATACACCAATGTTCTAGTCTTCATTTAAGTAAATACTACTCATCATTAGTTCCTCAAATACCTTTTCAATACGATAGTAAAGATGTTTTGGAATGGATAAAGTCATCAAAACTCCCATTAGAATTATACATGCGTGACTGGATACAAAATAATTTATTGCAACATGGGGTACTTTTACAGCGTTCTAAGCTAGGACATGGAACAAAACCTGCATTAAAATTTTTGAAGGAACCTGAAATAACTCCGATAAATAAAGTTACTATTTTAATATCACAACCTCAAACTCTCTAAGAAGCTTATCTATTAGAGAATGGTATTATTTTAAAAGATGAATTAGAACTTGATAACATCCCCTTTGCTGAATATAATTCATCGCTTGATCGCCCATTAGTGGATTTCAAGAATTCTAAATGTTCTGATAAAGTTTATTGCCAAGTAATTTTCCATGCGGTGAAGATTTCTTTTGACCCTTCAAGCATCAAATACCTGCAACAATTTTCAGATGCGGTGGACTCTACTTTAGAAACTCATGAACCATTTAAAAATCTCTGCACACTGTTTGGAAATGATTATGGACATTTGTTATCAAGAACTTTTACTTTAGGTGGAATTTTATCAAGATCGTTTAAACCTCGTAATGACCTAACAAATTTCATACATGCACGAAAATTTGAATTTGATGTAAATGATCCTGATGCGCCTCAAGAAATTGAAGAAATTTTAAAAATATGGAGTGGAGAATCACAAGATATTGATACTTCATTATTTCTTAATAATAATGGGGATATTATTCGTCGCAATAATATTGGAGATTGGTGGAAAACTCTTGCTGATAGTCCTAGCAATTGGAAAGTTATATCTTCAGAAAATTGGATGCCATTATATAAAGTTTTAGATAATACACATCAAAATATTGAAGCCATTTTGAATAATGAATTTCATCTCGTTTTTAATGGAAAAGAATCATTAAATAAGAATCAAACCACAGTAATTATTAATTTTCCTGGACCAATTGAAAATAATTATTATATTTTTGGAAATGTTGTGAAAGAAAATAATGATGGTGATTGGGAAATAATTCCAGAGACTACTGTTCAATTTAGGTATCAAAATAAGGACGGATGTGCTGCATATATTCTCAACAATAGTAAGACAAGGTATGATTATTATTACAATTAATATAATTGATTTTTATGACCTAACAATTTCTAATAATTATTTATCATGCTCCAAAGTTTAAATGTAGGCAATTTAAAATTTCTTTGGTTTGTGCTTGCTAAACCAAATGGATATTATAGTAATAAGAACAGAAATGTTAAGTTCGCCTATGGTGAACTTGACATTGATAATAGTCAGTCGGAGATTACATTGAATAGTGAAAATATATATTCAAATTGCGTTCTTATGACTTCATTTGTTCCCAAAACACAAGATGACACAATCATTCATGATATTACGCTCAAAGCTTGGACAAAAGCAACGATTGAATTAAAAGTTCAGAGAAAAGAACGAGATGATAATTTAAATCAGGAAGTTATAAAGAAGATTGGACTAATTGACTCTTCAGATGAAGATTCAAGCGATTCTGAAAGCACATTTGGAAATAATTCAGCACAAGGATCTCATGAGAAGACGACTCTTCAATGGTGTATAATTTATGCAAACGAAAGAGAACCAATGAAAAGTGAAGATAAAGGATCATATCCGTGGAATTTATTTGGAATCGTTCTTGATGAAAATTTCAAAAAAAATTAATTTTAAGGCATTATCAATGAATTATAATTGATAAAATTGCATAATAGACATAGTAAGGTACATATTGGACATTGACTTAGAAATGACATTTTAAAGCACTCAAAAGATACCATAATAAATTTTTTGAGTGAATAATCATTATATCTCGTTACAGAACTCATTCAAATGGCATTAGTAATGGCTCTACAAAATTTCCATAATCAAATTTGTTGAGAACAAATAATTGTCAATAAGTATTGCCGGATTATTATAAATAATTGTTCGTCAATATTTTCAATGGAGTTTCGTAACATATTTAGAATACCTAGACATTACCCCATAATTTACACTAATATAAACACTGATAATTTAGATATAATTTATAGATAACAACTATCTCATAAATTAGCTAAATATACATTTAAATTTTATTTATTTTGTTTATCCGTGCAACTGATTCTTGGTATAGGAAGCTTTTTTATATGAAAAATCTCGATGTAAAAATAAGAACTCTTGATATAAGAAAGATCTTGAACTAGGCCTGTGATTTCTTATGTCGAGAATCAGTTGTATAATATATTATTACCTTGTTTTCTTTTAAAAGACAAGATCTTGTCTCAATTTTTATTAATAAATACATTATCTTATTAAAGTACAACAAAGAAGCTATTATCTCTGAAATAAACTAACACTTTTTTGCACAAATTTGAGTTTATAAAAATAGCACTCAATAAATAACATAATTACAAATTTTTTACACGTTTCCATAGATATAATTAGCATAAATGCTGTATTGAAAATTTAACTAATAAAAGAACTAATAACAAAAGATTTTATAGGATTTCTTACATTCAATCATAAATACATGAATAGAATATTAATTATTGATTATTAAGGATAGCGGTATCTAATACTTTTTGAATCACAAATTTCGATAGCTCTTGCTTGACCAAGTCTAGCTGCCTTTATCAGCCATTGCTCTCCTTCATCCTTTTCTCTGTTGTTATCGCCAAACATCCAAATAACTCCTAAATTATACATTGCAGTAGGATTATTATTCTCTGCAGCTAATTTAAAATACCGTGTTGCTTCTTTCTTATTTTTATCAACACCGAGCCCATAATAAAGGCCAAATCCATATCTCAATTGTGCTTCAGGGTAATTAGCATTAGCGGCTTTCTGATAATACTTCATTGCCACTTGAACATAGGTATCTTCTCCTTGAATAACATCTTCAATATCTTCTTCATAAAGCGTTCTTGATTTTAGAACATCTTGTTGTAGATAATATCCGATCCAATAATCAGCAATAACGCTCCCTTTTCTAGAATGATTTACGAATGTTTTCCACGCCTCAAGTGTATTTCCATTTGGATCATTGTGTTGTTTAGTTGCGTCATCTAATGACATCTGCGGTGGGAATCGTGGTTCATCCTGTATGTTAACATCGAAATCGAATTGTTCATTTTCATCATCGAGGTAATCTCCAAATAAAGCTAATGAGTATAGATTACTTCCACCAACTATAAATGCTCTCTCATCAGTATCAACTATACACCACCTAAGAACTATATTTTCTTGAGAGGTTGATTCGATTTTATTTGCGTCGAATTCATCTTGTTCATCGTCGTCTGAACCTTTATCATCATAACCATCATCTATATTTTCTCCAGAATCACTAAATGAAGCTTTCGGTTCTTCCTCTATTTCAATATTAATTGTCGTTTTTGTCCAATTTCTGGGTTTAATGTTATAAAAAACAGTATCTTTCCTTGAAACAATTGATGTTATTAGAACACAATTAGAAGTGAGTTTTTTACTTGCTAATTTCACCATATGCTGGGTATTATCAACGTTAAACTCTCCACAAATGACTTTAACGCCTCTATTTATGTTACTGCAGTATCCTTTTGGATTAGCGAGTACGAACCAGAGGAGTTTTATATCTTCTTTTATTAAGCTTTAATTTTATAAACAAAATATTGTTAAAACAGTCAGTCTATAATAATGTAGTCATTAGTGCTTGGTACGCACCTTATATCACAATTTATATGTATATATGCAGCACAACCATTACTGTTAGGATAATCAAAACGAACAGAAATCTTGGGTATTGCCTCCCAATTACCGTTAGCATTTCTCATCACAACAACTCCATAAATATAATATTTATCGTCAATGAGTGATACTGGAAACTTAATAATAGCTGTAGTTTGATCTTTACTTAAAGGTTCTTCTCCATTACAAACGAGGCGATACGTATCATCAAAAGTCTCATCAATATTTTTGTGTGTTTTCTTCATACATTTATATAATGGTGCCCAATCTTCGAAAGCAACAACATTCCAGTCACTACGCCTATTTTCAATGAGCTCTTTTAACCAATCATCAAGTTTATTGCGATAAATAATATCTCCACTATTATTAAGAAAGAATGATGTGTTCAAATGTTTAAATTCTTCATTCCACTCTTCTAACTTTTTCTCAATGTTTAGAGGTGTTTGAGAATCATCTATATCATATTCGAAAACAATCCTTTTTTGTGGTAAAATTATGCCTGTAGATTCATACTTTTTTGATAAAATCCCACCCAAAGTAAAAGTTCTTGGTAATAAATGACCATACTTATTTCCAAATAATTCACAAAGCTTTTTAAATGGTAGATTGTTTCGGAGTGCAGTATTTACTGAATGTGAAAAATCTGGTAAAGTTTTAATATCTGAGAGATTAAACGAAATCTTCACCGCATTAAAAATAATTCTACAATAAATTGCCTTTGAAGGAACATTTTTAGAATGCTTAAAATCTTCCAAAGGATAATTAAGTGTCGAGCCATACTCAGCAAAAGGGATTTTATCGAGTTCAAATCCGTCTTCTTCCTTTAAAATTATACCGTTCTCCAATAAATAAGCTTCTTGGCGGGTTTGAGGTTGCATTAATACAACTTGGATTTTATTTATTTCTGTAATTTCAGGCTCCTTTAAAAAGTTAAAGGCAGGAAGCTTTCCATGTCCAAGGCCTGATTGCTGTAAAACCACACCATGTTGTAACGAATTATTGTGAACCCAATCACCAAGATATAAATGATGCGGTGGTTTATTTATTATCCATTTCAAAATATCTTGCTTATCATATTCAGTAGGAATATTTGGGATTAGCTCAGTGTAAGATTTTTCATCGGGTACAAAACCCATTTCCTTGAATATTTGATTTCTTAAATTGTCAGGCAATAGTTCATAGGATGGAATAATTTCTTCATAAGATATAATTTCCACAAAGTTACAATCGTATACACCTTTAAACCAAGTATACAAGTCACCAAGAGTTCTCATATTGATTGAAGTCTCAAGTTGTGGTATTTTATCAAGTGGTACATTTTCAAAAATTCCCGAAACTCTTCCTTTGCCATAAAATATTCCTCGTTGAATATAAGACTTCAAATATGATCTACTTTCAGCAGAAACTCTTGACCAATCTCTAATAGTAATAACACCACCAAGTGTGACTTTTGTTGCCACGTAATTACCATAATCATTGAATGTTCTTTTCAGATTCTTTTTAATCCCTGATGAATCTGAAGAATTAAGTGCATTTCTTACATTCTCGATAAATTCATTAGTAGCTCTGCATGTATAGTTCACAGTTGCAACTGGTACATGGATTCGTACATCGTCATCTTTTGAATCCCATATTTCATCGTTTTGATGTACGAATAAACTTGACTTATTTAATTCCCACCAAGGGGAACTTTTACTTTTAGGAAGATAGATAGTTGGTGAGTGCATATACACTCTGTTTACTGTTAGATCTCCGTTATCGCATAAAATAGGTTTCTTTGCAGGAATAAAATCATATCCATCAGGATTTCGACCTTTGTTCAATGCCAAATGATTAATGAAGTCGATTTTAAGTTGGATTACTTTTTGTTCTCTTAGTACAAAATTATAATCCAATTCACATTCAATATTTATTTGAGATATAGGCATAGGTTTTCGGGAGTCAGATGGGCCTTTGACATTATCCTTGACTAATATGTCCGAGAGGGAAATAGTTTTTAATTTCTCGAGAATTATTGCGCAACTGGGTCGATAACCTACAAATAATTATTGCACTTTTAATTGATGTATATTAATTTCCAATTATTACAAACTAAATAAATTAAATACCCGGATTGCTGTTCCAACATTCCTCATAAAGTTCAATAAATTTAAGTGGTGTCCCTTTTATAGGTGATTCCCGATCTCCATTAATAATTGCTAACCGAACATTATTCCGGTTAAGAAAAGGTTCAGTACCATTACTGGAAATTTCCCACATTAATAAGCCTAAGCTATATATATTTGGTTTTGTTTTATCTTTAATATTTAATGAACGCAAAATTTCAGGAGGGTCATATTTAGAAAATGAAGATTCGTCAGATGGACGGATTTGAGACACCCCAATATTGGTTAATTTAGGAATCTCTCCATGCATAACGATATTTTTTGGATTCTAAAAAAGTTAAACGTTTTTAAATTATAATATAGCAGATAAACGGTAAACAATTTGAAAAACCTTTATTACCAGATCTGAGTGAACAACACCTTGATCATGAAGGAATTTCAAACCATAAACGATTTGACTTGTCAATGTTAGTTTCTTATCCCATTCTAGAGGTGCACCCTTTGAAATCATTTCATTAAGATAAACACGCAGATTTAGGACTGCGTATTCACCGACAAAGAAATAACTAGTTCCATCTATTGTACAGACAAAAATATTTAGAGATTAATACTTTGTTATTTTACTTAATGTTTCAAAGTAGCTTTGAACCACGCAAACTATTGTCACGACAAAATTAATTATACTGAAAACCAATTACTAATATCTGATCAAAATGACAAAAGAAAAAATTTTTTCTTAATAAAAATTTCTATGGAACTTTGTTGAAGAAACAATTACATTGAAGATGCTTTAAAGATAAATTTTCCAGTATTATGCCAGCAGCAGCTGAACCAATTTACGACATGGTAATGCTATGCATGCATTATGTAATTTATTAATAATTAAATTGACATTCACCATACGTTAGGCCATAAACTTTTAGTATGTTATCGTGTACAAATTGTTTTAACTAAATCAATAAGTGTTAGTCGGTTTGTTTAGGAAGACGTTTAAAAAGATATATATACCTCGACATTCAAACTTCCTACAGCCTTATCATCATATCCATCTAAATTTCTCAATAAACTTAACTTTACAAGTTTATTATCCAATAACTTAACATTTGGCATTCGCTTATCTTTAGCATCAACGAGTTCGTCATATTCTATCAATTTAATCTTTTTTTCATGAACTAATTTTTCTACGTACTGATATATTTTCCTATGAGGCATACTGATATTAGCCGATGCAAGATAATAGACAATGGCAAAATTAAATCCAAGAAGATATAATAGCCAATTATATTAACCATAACGTTGCATAATGTCGTGTATTGTAAAACATTACACGTATGTTTTTGTTTATATCATATGATTTTTTTTAAAAATAACATTCTGACTAGAAGGGTATATCGGAATGAAAACAAATGATACCTTTGTTATGCTTAGCTAATAAATTGGATGACAAATTATCCAAGAAAAGATAAACTAAAAATTAATTTCAAATGAATCAAATGAGTTTTAATTTATAATGAATACGGCAGGTTTTCTAGAAATTTAACCAACTCATATCGGCAATTTTGAATACGTGGGGTATTAATTATTATGATCTACAAACAATAAGCTGCACAGTGCGCTAAAATTTAAATTTATTTTTTCCTTCATTATTGTTGTATACCTGTTAAATGCTAGCTCGCTTTTAAAGTGTAACGATGCATCATCCTCATCTCGACTGAGATTTGGCGGGAGCAAATGATATGATATTCGTATATGAGTGCCGTCAAGGGAAAACCAAAATTCTGGCTTTCAATTATATTTTGTGTTCAGTTTATTTTCTAGGGTAAATCTATCTTCGGACTTTCGATTATATTTGTATGACTTATCACAAAATATAATTGAAATCCGATGATAGATTTTTCTTAGATAACATTCAGAAAATAAAATATAATTGAAAGCCAGAATTTTGGTTTTCCCTTGGCGGCACTCATATATGACCTGATTTGGTATCTGAATAATAAAGTGTTCGTTTTAGAAGACATTTTCACCCTCCAGAAGTTGATATCTGATGACTAGGAAATAGGCGATATGAAAGTCCGGTGCTAAAAATTTATTAATCTGTGAACTTTTTACATTTAGCCTGTTCTATCTGACTGATTTGTGCCGATTTCTTCAATTTGGCCGAACAGCCAGCTGCCAAGCACTAGCCTATTGTTAAGTCACTGCAAAAAAGCGGGGTAGAAGGGACGATAGAGCCGTCTTCCTGCAAGGCGAACGATAGCAAAAAGAAAGATGGCCTCTCTCTACTCCCATAAATACATTGCATTTACGCCTGATTTCAGTTAACTAAGTTATATATCATTTCGTCACTTAAAAATTATATGCGATCATAATCTAATCTAACCAAGAAAAATCTGAGACAATGCAACTATAAAAGGCTAAAGCGACAAATTAGTATCCATGCGTGAGAAAACTGATCTCCAAAATTGTGTCATGAGAAAATTGTGATCTGCACAAACTAGAGATGGGAAAAATGCGCATTTTATAATAACATGCGCATGAATGCGCATTAATGCGCACGAATTGTTTCATGCGCATGATATCGCATGATAAAAAAAAGACAAAAACGATCGAGAGGAGAGAAATTTTGATGGGATAAAATGCGCATGAAAGGATATCATGCGCATGAATGCGCATTAATGCGCATGATTCCTCAATCATGCGCACGCATGAAACCCATCTCTAGCACAAACGTAATGTAATCCAATCAAATTTAGGATTTTGCCTTTGGTTTATTCTTCAATATACCATACACTTCGTTTCACTACGTTCCTAGTACACTCACGTTCTTGGTATACTTCGTTTCACTACGTTACTTGATTAGATTAATTTATTAAATTATAAAAGCATTACAGGTATAATTACTGAATTATTAGAAAATTTTAAGATTTAACTTGTAAAATAGATCGACTTATATCTAATTTTCATATATTCAAAAATCTAGCCCCAAACTAGTCATTATGTCTTGCTGTTCAACAGCGGGTTGAAATTATACCGTTTGCCACTGTATACGTACAATACCCACTTCTTACTCAAAAACTTCATTTTAAAATTGAATAGTATTGGGTACTAGTTATTAATCCACAATCTCATTGGTGGAAAAAGGTACTTTATGTGTAGGATATCATTTTTAGGGAGTAACAGAATAATAAATGTTGGGGATGATGCTGAAATTGGCTGAAACTTAAAATTTGGGATCTCAATTTAGATCCACTTATACTTGTTTATTATAAATTCTACTCATAAAGCTGACTCCTAAACCTAAAAAAAAAAGTCAAAAAATACGCCCCAAAACTTTTTAAATTTTCATAAAAATAGGTCAAATTTTCAGCTTCAGCCAATTTTACTTCAGCCACCACAATAAATTTTTATACTGTATAACACAATATACAGATGACCCTTGTTAATATCAACCTCGTTAATGTCAACTTCCGGTTAATATCAACCTCTCATTAGTAAAAAATTGAGTTTAGCTTATGTATTTTCGATCCTCCATAATATTCTCCCTAAATGGACGCCCTGACATTGTCCCAAATTTATAGAAACATAGTAAAAATGCCCTATATAATCTCTAAATGAACATTTTTAAAAATTTGTTCTATTGTCCCGAGTAGAATTGGACCCGTTGAGAAAATCTCTACCCGGGTATTATTAAATTACCCGGGTTATCCAGGTAAGTTATTATATATTTCGGAAAATCGTATAGTAACAATTTCTACCCGGGTCAAATCCCTAGTCCCGAGGGGATGCAATTATAGAGGTTCAAAATACTTTAAATAATCATCTCGTTGTTATCTACCCTCAACATGGCATAATCAAATTTTGCCAACAAATTTTGGCCCAATTTAGTTAAAGTTGGCCTGCTTTATGGTTAGTGTTGGCTAGAGATTGTCGGTGAAGTGGCTGTCGGCGAATTCTATCCGAACCATCAACATAATTATCTAATCAAAGTAGGTTGATATTATTTGCGAGAGTCATCTGTATATAGTTTTGATATATATATATATCGTACATCCCGCTAGTCAAATAAGTGCATGTTCGTTCTGATTGAAATGAGATTAGTTGGTTGATGTGCTAAGTGTGTACTGGCTAATTTCGGCATTTTGCAAGCAATCTGCAATCTTTATCAATATTCGACTATTTGGCTGGTTTAATATTGGCAGATTGCCAACAAAACCAGTATACATTAGAATCCCGAATAGTTATATATTAGTTTATATTTGGGCAACTTAGTAAATTTTTTTGTTAGCACTTTTATATTGATATGTTTCAAATATCAAAATATTTATTATCGGTTAAAAATACAAAAAGAAAAAAAAAAAAGAAAAAACTCTCAAATTTTTTCTACCAAATTTTCAAATTTAAGATGGAATATCTATAGTTCATTAGTAAAATTTTAAATATAACCTATTTATCGTATCGATTGTCCATTTTAAATATTATTTTCACACAAAATACCTAGTTTCAAATATAACCTTTTTTAATATTTTAAAAAAAGTGCTATATTAGCAGTTTTCAAAAATGATCTCATATATAATTATTCGGGGTCCTTACATTAGCACTTTCAGCAGCTAATTAATATAATTTCAACTAGAATAAACTGATACTGATTTTGTCATTTTGATTAGTGTCCAATGTACTAAGTCTGCTTTCCGTTGCCCAAAGAATTCCATTTTAGACTTCATTGTTTACTTGGCGACACTCAAATATAAAGAGTATAGGATCCAAATACAGTACAAATCAATTTCAAACACATTTTAACGTTTCGGAGTTAATCGGAGGGCTGATACGATAAAATATAAAATCAGGTTTTAATCATATGATCTACAGGTTTACCTTAATTTGAGAAATTCTAATGTTGCAGCCACAATCAAAAAAGGAAATTTTAACAATGTTTACTCAATTTGGATTAAGTTTAGCACGCGAGTGTGACGAATCATGGTGTGACTAATAATGAGCGTGATGAATAATACCGGATTACATATAATCTGAGGTTAGTCCACTCATGATTCATCATGCTTCCGTGCCAAATAAAAGGTATCAGCTATTCTAAATTCCTTAATTTCGCAGAAACTTACACTAGCGCTAAATAAAAATCATAGGATTTTCATAATTTTCACCGCTTATTAGGCTTTTTATAATTTATCTATATTCGATTATTTGTTTTTTTTTTTGATGTAAAACAAATAGTCACTATGAATGAGATTGTTTTGGTAGCACATTTCATTAACATCAAGTGCATATAAGCTCATCTTCGATAGTATTTTACTGTGTCTTGCTAGTATCGGCTCAAATTTCTCATTCTCCGTTGGTTAGATATGTCTCTTACTATTTATCAACATACTGAAAGATTAGTTCACGAAAAAACCATTCATTTAATAAAATATGAATTCGAACAAGCACCAGGAGAGCCTAAGGATGAACATAAGTTATATGTCCAAAAAATATGGAATAAAGGGAATAAGGAGAAAAAGCTAGTAAATTTAAGCATATTGAAGGATTTTGATATAGAAGGCGATAGTGTCACGAGATTGATGGTCGAGGTAGGTACTAAAAAAAACTTAACTCATTTGTCATCTAGAAACTACTAATATTAATTCTCGTAGCTCGAACCGTTTGCACACGAAAATGTGCTGGGTGTTCTCGGCCTAACTTTCGGTTAGTAAATTCCTTAAAACATTAATTATGAATATATATGTAAACTTTCTATTAATATTTTAAATGTGTATGTTAGATGGAAACAATTACTATTTTGTTCGTGAGTGCGCTAACATGGACTTGCGCACATATCTTAAAATGCGTTCAAAAAGTAATCCTCTGAGATGGCATGATAAATTACTATTAACAAATGGAATAGTTAATGGTTTAAAGTTTCTTCATGATAAAGAGATTGTCCATTCTGAATTGGTAAAAAGTTAAAAGTTTAATTGTCCCCTGTTTATTATATTCAAAGTCTTACAATGTTTTAAATTTTTAGCATGCCAAGAATATAGTTATGCACAATGATACTCCAAAAATAACCAATATTGGAATGCTTCAAGCCCGTGAACCTCATGATTTTAAATATAGCCCTCCTGAGATTTTGTTATTACAGACGATTAATGATAAGAAAAAGTTAAACATTTATAGCCTCGGCGTTTTGATGTGGGAGATTTCCAATGACGGTATTGAGCCTTTCTCCCAACGTGGTGGTATTAATTTAGCACAATTAGCGATTCAAATTATTAAGGGTGTTCGAGAATCACCCATAAGTGGAACGCCACTCGAATTCGTTGAACTTTACAAGAAATGTTGGGATGAAAATCCTGGTTCAGTATTATTATGATTTTATTATTTATCAATGTGACGATTAATTATTATTAGCTAAATGAATAACGATTAATTTTTATTAGACGTCCGACCTGATTGCGCACAAATTACCGAAACATTAAAAAATATATCACTCTTAAATCCAATTAAAATTGAAAATACTGCCGGCTCCCGGATATATGAGCCCAAACCTAGCAAGAACCTCGATTTTGATTTAGCTTGCGAATTGGATTATAAGGCCTTGTCTAGACAAAGAAAGTTGAGGATTGAATTTATAAACCATTTTGCCTTAAACCGAGGTAGAAATCTTGAAGAACTTGATTTTAGTTGCGGAGGAATTATATTACGTGATGATGGTAACCCAAAAGTTAATAAAATTGCATCAAGTTCTCCAGTAATCTATCTTCCGCTAAACCATGAGTCACCTTGGACGGATCTAACGAATCTATTTGAGGTTAAAAATGAAAATAAAATGGGTCCAAAGTACGACGTTGTAAGGATCCATATCCCAATTTCAACCGTGCAATATGAAGCTAAACCCACAAATGAATTTATTCAAAAGATTAGAAGTGCGCTTAATTTGTCGGATGAAAATGATAAACGAAAAGCACTAGAAAAGTGGTTTAAACATTATGGTAATTATGTTGTGAAAAGAGCCACACTTGGAGGTGCTATTACTGTTAGAAATTGGTCAAAAGTTTCAAATGAAAGTAAATCATATTTAAAGAGTTACCTACAATGGGGGATTGACTATGGAAAGGGTGCTTCTGAAATTTTTGAAGATGTTCCACTTGATAGATTGCCTCAACTTGAGGCGTCTGTTGAAATTGAAACTATCGCCGATTTATATAACTGGTTTAAAAGTTTATACGATTTAAAATTCGCTGAAATTATATCGTATGAAGAATTCATCCCTTCTTGCGAATTATTGCCTCAAGACTTACAACAGCAATTATTTAAACTTATTGGTTCTATACCCACTGAAATATCTCGCAAACAATTAATTCCGGATATCCCTTCTCAATATGATAAACAAGATATTTTAAAGTGGATAGTATTAAATCCACCACTAATCTTACATCTTGGCGATTGGGTTCGTAATAATGAGCTGCAATGTGGTGTAATTTTACAGCGTTCAAATATAAAACATGGTAAAAAGGCAGCTTATAAATTTTTAAAAGAACCAAAAATAACCGAAATAAATAGAGTCACAGTATTATTTCACCAACCTCAAACCCTTCAAGATGCCTATTTATTAGAGAATGGTATAATCTTAAAAAAGGATGATTTTTTGGGATTAGAACTTGATAAAATCCCTTTTTCTGAGAATAGTTCAATACTTAATTATCCTTTGGAGGACTTTAAACATGCTAAAAATCAACCTTCAAAGTCAATTTATTGCCAAATAATTGTGCGTATGGCAAAAATTTCATTTAATCTTGCAGATATCAAGTCTCTGCAAGAATTTTCAAATACAGTCAATAATGTACTTCAAAGTAATGAACCATATAAGAGTCTTTGCAAAGTGTTCGGAGACGACTATGGACATTTATTATCAAGAACTTTCACCTTAGGTGGAATTTTATCTAAAAAGTATGAATCTTATTCAGATACGATTTTACCACAAAAATTTGAATATCATATAAATGACCCTCAGACACCTGAAAAAATTGTAAAAAAATTAGTGGAATGGAATAAAGAACACCAACATATAGATACTTCGTATTTTATTAGTGATAGTGGCGATTTAGTTCGTTGCAACAATATTGACAAGTGGTTTAAAGATCTCATAAACAGACGGAGTGATTGGAAAGTCGTTGATTCTGAAGATTGGGTGCCACTGTATAAAATATTGAAAAAAGCGCGTTTTGATATAGATGATATTTTTACGAAGTATCAAATTGTATTTAATGGTGAAGAATCATTGCAGAAGGATGAACAGATTACGATAATTATTAAATTTCCCGGTTCACTTGTCAACGATAAGTATCATTGCTTTGGAACCATAGTTAAAAGAAACGAAGATGGTAGTTGGGTAAAAATTCCTGAAGTAACCGTTCGATTTGGTTACCCTAATAAAGATGGTTGTGTTGCTGATATATATAAAAATGAGAATTGCAATATACGGTATCTATCTACATTCCATAGTACAGAATTTCATTATTTTAATTTATTAATACAGTTTCTAACATTGATTTGTCTACATAAGTTTAAATAAAGTAGATACAAAACTCCTCTGGTTCGTGCTTGCTGATCCAAAAGGATATTGCAGTAATAAGAACAGAAATGTTAAAGTTGCATATGGAAGCATTAACATCGTTAGAGCTCAATCTGAGATATCTTTAAAAAGTAAAAATCTCTCTTCAAATTGTGTTCTAATTACATCAATTGTTTCTAAAAATGCTTTCACAAATGGTACAAGCTTTTATAACATAAAACTTAAAGCATGGACGAAAACTAAAATTTCGTTAGAATTGACGAAAGACCAAACTAAAGTAAATCAACGTGTTGATGATGATGGCTTTGACGATGACAGCTCAGATGATGACATGGATAACTTTGATTCAGACGAAATAGAACAATCTATTCGAGAAACTGCTGTCCTTGAATGGTGTGTTCTTTATACAGATGGGAAGATGGTTAGTGAGGCTGATGAATCATTAAAATATCCATGGTCATTATTTGGCGGTAATCTCGATCCAGAGCTGGAAATTTTGGGTCAAGATGAAATAGACCTTTATGAATCATCACCTCGAATGTCTTTAGAGGATGCAATTGAACAACACGATAAACCAAATGGAAATACACTTGAGGCGTGGAAAACGTTCGTTCATCATGCTAGAGAAGGAAACCATATTGCAAAATTCTGGATAGGACATTACCTACAACATGACATCCTTATGGCATCATCACATAGAAGAAAATTTTATGAAGAAGTTGTTGACGAGTTTGCCGATGGAACAGATAACTATCAACTGGCTGCAATGAAATTTTACAAACAATCTGCAGACTTCGGCTATCCAGAAGCCCAACTAAAATATGGGTTTGGCCTTTATAAGGGGACCGGTGTTAATCAAAATAAAAAGGAGGCCATGAAGTATTTTAAATTAGCTGCAAAAAGCAATAATCCTACCGCAATGTATAATTTAGGAGTTAGTTTGATATTGAGTGGAAACGAAAAGGAAGGGGGAAAATGGATAATAGATGCAGCTAGACTTGGTCAACCAAGGGCAATTGAATTTTGTATTAACGAAGAAATTAATTACCAATGAATTATGTTATTTTATTCATATAAGATTAATATTTATGCTAGAAATTGTACATTAATTTATTTATATCCCTCATAAAATGATTTATGAAGACATTAATGCTTTGTATTATAATTCGTGTAAATCATTAACTATGAAATAAAATTTTGTCCAAATGTTTGGTGTGATTAAGGTTAATCGATAATAGTATCTACAAGTATCTATGTCGTGCATTATGCTAGGGCGCTAGTGCCTTGCTCCGTGCTTACATCCACAGGCAAAAAATTGCATAGCACTATGAAGCGATTAGGAGTTTTACTATTGCACAGCCAATTTAACTGTTGGTCGTAAGCATTAAATATTTATTACCGTATAGTTCCGAAAATAAGTACCCCTTTTTTGCATTTAATGCTGGCCAAGATCTTCATAATGCAGGCCAAAATTGGTTTAGTGCGGGCTAGGGGTGCTTATTTTCGGAACTATACAGTAATTAACATGCTTTAATTGAATTTTATAATGAAGCTGATTACGTAGTTAAATATGGTTCAATTTTTTATGTAAAAATGATTATGATACACTTTAATTGAATACAGCATGAATAGTCAAATATAGTTCGATTGTTTTTAATTATGACATGTTTTAATTAAATACAGCATGAATTTTATAATGAAGCTTATAATGAAGCTGGTTATTTAGTCAAATATAGTTCTATTTTTTATGTAACGATGATTATAACATGCTTTAATTGATACTATTATAAAGTAGAATACAGCATGAATTTTATAATGAAGCTGGTTACGTAGTCAAATATGGTTTGATTTTTTATGTAAAAATAATATAACAAAATAATGATTTTAAAATTCAATTCAATTCTATTTTTGAATTTTTAACTAAATTTAGGTCAAAATATTGAAGAAATCAGCATAGTCAAATTTGATTAAAAATTGAATATTGAATTTTTGACAAATTAGTTTGAATTATTAAAGAAATCGATATAGTTGAATTTGATTAAAAATTGGATGCAAATTTTTGACTAAATTAGTTTAAATTATTAAAAAAATCAGCATAGTTGAATTTGATTAAAATTTGGTTGTCGAATCTTTTGTCTAATTTAGATCAAATTATTGAAGAAATTGGCATAGTCGAAATTGATTAAAATCAGATGTTGAATCTTTTGTCTAATTTAGATCAAATTATTAAAGAAATTAACATAGTCGAATTTGATTAAAATTTGGGTATTGAATTTTTTGACTAAATTAGGTCGAGTTATTGAAGAAATCAATATAGTCAAATTTTATTAAAATTCAGTTGTCAAATTTTTGACTAAATTAGATTGAATTATTATAAAAATCAGCATAGTCAAATTTTATTAAAATTCAATTGTTGAATTTTTGACTAAATTAGGTCGAATTAATATTAAAGCTACTGAATTTTAAAAAATTCAGCTGATTTGTTGCTAAATGCTATTGTAATTTGACCAGGTCAAATTCATAGTTTTTGACTAGTGATATTACTAGAAGTTAGTTAATAATATGAGAACCTATTATATAAGTTTGTATAGCCTTATTAATGAATTAATTAAATTTAATTAAATATATATATATTTATTTTTTAGAATATTAATTTGTAAAAGTTTCTAAGCTCTTTTATAATATCAGAAACAGAATTTTTATATACAATAAATAAAAATTATAAAAATAAATATATAAATATTTTATATACTTATATCTATTATTAAATTGCTAAAACAACTTAAATAATTTAATTTAACTTGTAAAAAAATACTTAGTAAATTATTAAATAAATTAGTATTAATAAATAATTTGTCAGTTATCTGGAAAGCTATGTGATTTATTTTATACAAAAATTTATATATAATTATATATAAATTCTTCAATTAGTAAATGTGAAGATATTATATCTAAAACTTTTTTCTTACTAAATAAATCACTTTGGGCTCATAATAAAAGTTTTAAGCTTATTAAGTTATATCTAATAGTAATAAGAATATTAAAATCAGCCTGATAGTTCTTGAGAAATCTTTAAAAACATTTTGCCAACATATAAAATTTTTCAAAAAAATCACTTTTTTAAAGAAATTTTATATGTCAATAAAACATTTTTTAAGATTTCTCAAGAACTATTAGATCAATTTTAATGTTTTCACTATTTTTAGATACATCTTGATGAGCTCTACAACTTTTATTTTAAGCCCAAGAGTGATTTATATAGCAAGAAAAATTTTAGATATAATATCTCCACATTTAGCTCAATAGTAAAATTTACTTATACAATTTGCAGTTCTACTCCAGATAACAGATAGATTGTCTATTAAATCATAATTATTTATATTTAAAAAAATATTATTATAGTACTATCCTATATATAAATATAAAATTAGTATAATATAAATTAAAATAATTTAGTTTTTACAAAAAATAAAACTACATTTAGATTTAAATTAAAGCTAGCTTAAGATTAGACAAGATATAGTTCAAACTAAAATTTTGTAAAAAATTTTTTATTAAAATACAAAAAATAGTTTTTTTAATTAAAATTTTGATATAATTAATTTTAAAAAGCATTTGTATTACAAAATTATTATATAAAGAGATACAAACTAGTTATAAATAGCATGGAACAATATATACCTTCGAACACATAAATCACCCAGAAGACCAATTCCCTCTTAGTACAAACATATTAAAAATTTAACAAACAACAATTTTTTACCTTCAATTTGGCCATCAATTCATCTAAATGATATTAATACATTTACTAATACACTTACATTAATTTCAACTCTAACTACAATTTCTAGGAAAAATAACTGGACAATTTTCTTCTCTATACCTAATGTACAAATAGGAAAAATTATTTTTATAACACCAAACAACCTCTCATTCGAAAACTATATTATTCTTCAAAAGTCTTCTGGCATTATAACTCTTCAACCTTCTTCACAAATTTCTACAATTCCTTTTACATCTACAGTCAACTTTCTTTGTAAAAACCAAAAACAAAAACAGACCTACAAACTTTCAATTGATTACCAAGAAATATTATCACTATCACAAATTTCTCCCAACCTATTACCTCAGAAAATACTTATATTCAAATACAAAACCCAAATATTGAACTCATAATAAACTCTATTATTACCCCAGCATATCAAACAGAACTCATTAATATCTATCAACAAATACAACTTATCCCACTAGAAAATCTTCACTTCTATACA